TACAGGCCGGGTTCACATTATTGTGCAGCAGTAACACACTTTGGTGCACTTCAATGGCCTTAATTCTTAATGGTACCGCAATGCACCTACCAAAGTTTTACAGCTGTCACCCAACCAGCAGGTGCAATGGAGATCTCATTCCAGGATAAGTGTTAGAACAGTGCTGCACAAATCCTAGGAGCCAGGAAGTCCATGCACCTTAAATAAATGACAACTGTCTTCTAAAGTTTCTCTAGCTGTTGTCACAGGGGCTGGCTGCTTTGTCCACCCCTGGGTTAGAACCCCTCACAGTATCTGTATTGTTCTCCATGCTTCCTGCCAACTGCGTTCCCTGTTTCTTGTACAGGCATCACAGGGACAGGAAGTAATGGAAAATCTCTCCAATTGGGTCACAGACGGAAATATAAACTTCAGAAGGAGCCAACACCCCATAATGCACATGCAATGAATTATTATGTTGTATTTGCACAATGGTGTGCTGGAGTTTTCTGATTATGGCATATTAAATGGCGTCGCCTTAAGCCGAGCACCCTCTTTATCATTTTGGCGTTTGGAGATAGTGCAGCGTGGGTTGTTGATTGCAAAAAAATAAAGATCTGGCAGAACAAATTGACTCCTCCTCTATTAATAAATAAAAAAAAAAGTCTGCTTTGGGCTGCTGCATACTGTGTAATGGAGACATGCCCTGTATAGTGATGGCAGCGCAGGGAGAGCTCCACTGTGGACGGCCACCGTTCTGCTTTAAGCACAGCAGTTTATAAATGGTGTTTACTGTTAAATCAGACTGCTGTTTGATGCTCTTACAACATAAGCTGCACCATGTCATAGCAAGGTTTTGTGTTTTCATCTGCAATTCTTTCATAAATGTAGACTTGGTGCACAATGTCCAGATCTTTCAGAATAGACCACATATGACTGAGGTGGACTGTCCGTGTATGATTGTATCACCTGTCCCGGATTGGTAAAGATGGAGTATAATATTATTAGTAATAATATACACACACACACACCCATTTCATACTTTGATATGGAACTGGCTGCCTAATTATCAGTGACCTCTTATTGCAGTGAAGATTCTTCCATTGGTATGGCACCCATGTATGTCGAAGAATGTTCATGTTGCCACAGTAGCATTGTGAGTGTTGGGATAGCAGTCCCATGGTAGAAACCTTGTATTGGGGCTCCATTGAGTTATGTGGCAGTCACTTGGCACTATAAAATACAGGCAGAATCTCATGTGCAGGAAGTAGATTCTCAAAGATTTGTAATCTGATTTTCCAATACTTAAAATCTGCTACAAAGTTTGCTGGTGTGACATGGCCCTAAATGTTCTCTAATTTGTGTCTAATTTTCACTATTGGGGGGGGAGG